ATATTTTATAAGAATTAATTTTACATTATACTCTATGCTATATATTACAAACTGTTCTTTATCTGTGCATATATTTTTGTTCTTTATAATTTATCTTCTCTGTAATTTATCTTTTTTTTTTATATAAATCTAATGTATCCTATATTAGATGATTAAAACATTTACTCATATGGAGATAGAATCTATTATACTTTTAAATTCTTCGGAGTGCAATCGTACTCGCAAAACGAGTGAAAAGTGGTTATATTTTAATTTGAAGTGATAATGAAAATTCACTCAAAATCACAAGTGAATCACAAGTGTTTCAAAATTGAAGCGTACTCTTGATTTTTATGTGTGAATATTTCAATCAGTTAGAGTAAATTTGTTTTTATGGCAGCGGAGCACATTAGATTTATTTTTTAATTTTGAATAGAACTATTCACTCGACGACTCACAGTGGAGTAATTCAATTCCCATACGAGTGGAAAATCACTTGATTCCGAGTGACTCAATTGTCACTCTACTTTTCAAGTGAAAATTCACTCCAAGAAATTTAGAAAGTAAATTCTCTTGCGTGGATCTTACCTAGTAGCCTTCAAACTTTTAGAATTCCTTACATAATTAATCTTACTTTGTACGTAACTTAATAAGACGCGGCGGTATCATAATGTCACGATTACTATCACAGCATCAAGCGTGTTAATAGATTAAGAAAGTGGCCGAAAATTGGACATGTTCTCCTTCCGCTCTCCGCACACACGTGTCCACATCCTGAACACACGAATCTATATTTCATCGGCGTTTTAAAACTCTTCAGCTTTCACATTAATCACGCGAGTGGGCGGCTTCTTCTCGTAACAGATCCGCTGAAATCAGATTATCCTTCTCCTTATCTGCTTCGCGTGCGTGGGCACGAACGCACGCTCTTAGAGACACCTCCGGTCGTCGTCGTCCGAGAAAATAAAAGGGAAAAAGGTCGGGAAAGCTTGGGGGTAAGGACCGCGCATTGAATGCAGCATATATCCACCTGCGCGATGCGCTCGGCTCTTTTACGGTATATTCATGAATACGATGGTTTAACAACTCTGTTGCACGGTGGAAGGAAGAGAAAGAAAGATAAATAAAGAGAGACAGAGAGAGAGAGAGAGAGAGAGAGACCAGCAAAAGGATGAAGTGAGTCTTTGGGGGTGGCATCTCGTTTGAAAGCCGCGAGATTATTTTCTTAGCGTTTATTCCAGTCCATCGAATGGTAGAGGGAAGAGGGAGATTCTCCAGTCTTTCTCTTATCGTTTTCGCGAGAGTAGGTCAAAATCGAGACATCTCTCTTGGTTTCTCTCCTCCTCCTCCTCTTCTTCTTCTTCTTCTTCTTCTTCTTCTTCTTCTTCTTCTTCTTCTTCTTCTTCTTCTACTTCTTCTTCTTCTTCTTTTTTCCTCTGTAATATCTGCGGAAAGGCATCAGACCTTGCATGCAACGCGACGCAGCCGCTTCCTCTTTTCTTTTTCCCTTTCTTTCTCGGAAAGCTTGATGCATTCAACGATTTAAGTTAAGCGCAGAAAGGAATAGAGTCAGGTAAAGACATCTTCTCCCTCCCTTCCTCTCTCCCTCCCCCCCCTCTCTCTCTCTCTCTCTCTTTCTCTTTTATGCTGAACGCTTTAATTATCGCAGCATTTTCACGCCTTTGCCGCGGGACTAACTGTGTAATCCTGGTCGCGGCTTTCGCGTTAAGATGCTTCGGCGAGATCTAAAGCAAGATTGAAATTAACACCGTCGATTTATTATAGCTCGCGAGTGACTCGCCGCTTTTCCTTCAGCGTGAAATAAAGAGCAATGGGCGCATGTGCGATATCATCTCGCGCTTGTTTTCTCTCCTCTATTTTTTCAGCACGCAAAAAAGAAAGAAGATTGTTGTTATACGCAATACGAAAGAATAAGCGGCGGCCGGCGATCCGCTGGTAACATTTTATTGAATGTGACATGACAAGATAATATCTGAAATTTATGTGGATAGTTACAAATTTAGTACTCACGATTCGTTCTGCTTTTTATCTCAAAAACAACACGACACGACACGACACAGTCCGACAAAACCGGGGTTACACATTTTGTCTATATTTTGATATTTGCGCAGAAAATTGTGTAAACAAGGATTTCGGTACATATTTATCTCGCAAAATATTGCGCGACATAGCGAGCGCATGAGAAACGTATTTGATATCGCAATGGACCAGATTTAATCGAAAATTAAGCCGATTAAATTCTTTCTCCCTTTCCTACCGCCAAATGAAATTCGCCGTTGCGAAATTGATCGCCGCGCACAAAGCAGGAGGGGGGAGAAATTCTCGAAACGCACGCGACAGCACGATATTTTTACCTAAGCTATATTTAAACACATACTCTCTCTCTCTCTCTCTCTTTCTCTCTCTCTCTCTCTCTCTCTCTCGCACGCGCGCGTTGTGTAATTAAAGCGTTATTTGTTTGACACATTTAGCGATGCAGCATGCAAACGACGGCCGCTTTTCTCTCCTCTCGTATTCCGCGCCGTTGTGTGCACACGGATTAATTTCGGTACAGTTTGATTTATGTCGACTGAAATCTCGCTCGATGCGACGACCGCTTCGTCGTCGTCGTCGTCGTCGTCCTCTTCGTCCTCGTCCTCGTCCTCGTCCTCATCGCTGTTGTCGCCATGCCCAACCTCGCCCGCGTCGTCATCGTCGAATGATTTTCTCCTTTTTTCGTTCATACGCGGCCGGAGCTATCTCATCTGTCACAGCCAGCATGAGGCCCGCGTCGTTCTTCTCGCTTTCGCGGAGTAGAACAAATTGTACCTGACAGCGGGACACGGCCGGTGAGTAATGGCTTTTTGGAGGGCTGGTTAGCCCTGTTTGTACCGTCGAGAGTCACTGGCGGATCACTCTTCTCTGTTTTCACACCGACTGCGTCGACACGCCCCCTCCTCCGTCCTCCCACTGTCCCCCCGAATACGCGCTTTCACGTCTGTGCTCATTATGATCGGCATTGTGCGGACGAGTTCGAAATAAAACCATCGGGACTCTGTCGCACGACAGGGTGGTCCGCGCTCAATGGGCTTGAAAGAGGGGGGAGGAGCAGGTGAACGCGCGCGTTACGTTACCGAGATGCGCTGAAATCACGAGTATTTCCGTATAAGCTCGATAGGAAAACGTACGTTAACAATTATGCTTACTTTAATCAGATTCTCGTCTCCGTTTCTTTTTTGTCTTCTCTTTTTCTCATAGATGTAGCATGAGCAGACGGAACATGGATTCCTTTTTTCCTATAGGAAAACATGACGCCTACGAATAATGGGATTAAGATAGAGCAGGAAGTGCACATGCATTGTCTCTGTCGTATCGCGCCTACGCAAATTGACTATAACCTCAGAAACCGATCAGTTTATCGGAGAAAGGGGAAAGGATAGAGAAAGGTAAAGACAGAGTTGGGAAGTAACTCATTACCTGTAACGAAGTTAGTTATTTTTTTTTTTGGTAACTATAACTTAACTTCGTTCCTTTTTTCTATCTGTAACTGGAACTTAACTCAGTTACATTTGTTTAATAACTAATAACTAATTTAATAGTCACTTTAATAGTTTTATATATTTCAAACTTAAGTTTCTGACAGACTAGCACGATAACGCGACGTGCGATATTTGATATTCAATAAGCATACAATTGTTTTGGCTGCATTTGGAAAACGCGCTATTACATCATGTATCTTTATTGTTCATTAAATGTAAAACAATGATAAAATGACGCAATAACTCTGAATGCAACTTATATTTCTAAGGTCATATTTATTAACGCAAATATTCCACAGATTACATATACTAAAAATATCACATTGATGAAATTATACGTTACAAAACTGTACGTATGATGTTGGTCTTAACTGTAAACATGTTATATAAGTATATATGCATATCATGAACCATGTGTAAAGTGTGTGTCCAAAGTGTAGAAAAACATATTGTCAGCCGTTTATACAATAATAAATAAACATTATGGTAAATCACAATGCTAAAAAAGCATTATATATTACATTTGATAATATAAAAGCTAATAGGCATCATAGCGAATGTTAATAGTTTTATACATTCCATCGTTTCACTAAATATTATTTGTGACTGCAATTTTGTAAGTATATATTGCTATGTTTAAAATTTCTCTCAATATATTATAATATTTGAGGAATATTAATATTTCTCACATATCTCTTTGCTTATTTGCTTTTTGTTTAATCATTTTTTTTGTTACAGAGTTGTACAGGAAAATTTCTTGCTCTTTTTCATTTTCATTTTTCATTTTTGTGGGAAAGCTGTGTAATACAGATCTCAAAAGATTTTCCCCGTATATCATACAACGTGATTCTGCTGAAACATATTTCAAGAAGTTAGGCTTTATAAAAAAAAAGTACAGAATTTGATAAAAACGTTATGTCCAATAATAAAATCTTATTACTTTTTTAGCATTGTGATTTACCATATTTCTAACATATGTATATATGCAATGTTTATAATTTTTAAGGTAAAATGCGGTTTAATCCGGTCAACGTTGTAACCCTTCTGTACGCAGTATTTACAACTTTAAATTTCCCTGAAACTTTTATTACAAATGAAGAATTAGAAGTAAAAGAAAAAATAGAATCCATATTACAAGATATTTATGAAGACGAATATGAAATAGAACAAGAGGAGTCTCTTGATTTCCAAAATTCATTCGATATATCGGAAGTGGAAGTAGTAAATGAAGAAGAAGAAGAAGATGCAGGATATAATGTGAAGGAAATGATATATATCAACGATAAAATTCCAATAGAATATAAAAGAAGAGCAGTGGGGTTTTGGATTATTAATGAAGATAAGAAAAGATTACTGCAGAGCATTAAACATAGATTCCGTAAAGCGACATCCGTACGACAATTGCGACGATGGGAAGAACAAGTGCACAGAGGCGGGAGTAGGTCGGGGAAACTAAAAGAAATTTCTTCGTACACATTACAGGAATTTCAAGAAGCTCTGGGCAGAGGAACATTAATTCATGACATCGATATTGCTCGATGGACCTTTCAAGTGCAGAAGGAAGCAAATGTTGAAGGATTTACACCTTTACATACATGGGTAAGAAATTTTAAAATAACACACAAAATTATATCGCGGAAAGTTACAAAATTTATTACAAAGAAATCTACACAATCTAAAGAATACTTTGAAACAGAAAGCAACAGATTTATTCAAAATGTTAAATATCATATTGAATTTTTTGGAATTGAGAATATATACAATTCGGACCAAAGTGGTTTTCAACTAGAATTTCACACTGGTCGTTCTTTGGCAATAGAAGGTATCAAAAATGTAGAGTGCGCAATCGGTGTCAGTGACAATATATAGTTACACGATATAACCAACAATTTCAGCAGACGGTAGATTATTATCGCCTCTTTTTATTGTCTTAAAAGGATCTACCGGAACATTTGGCCCAAGAGTACAAGAGACAATGTTTAGAGAAAATAATATTTTTGCTATGACATCTAAATCAGGAAAATTAACATCATATCATTTTGAAATTTGGTTAAGAGATGTCTATTTTCCAAACGTTGGGCCTAAATCTCTTTTATTGTTGAATTCGTGGACTGGTCACTGTTCAGATTTAATTTAAAGAAATAGACCAGATTCTGCAGAAAATATCGTTCTTTTAACTATACCCGCAGGAACAACAGGTCAAAGACAACCATTAGATATATATAATGTCCGCTTATGGAAAAATTTTTTAAAACATTTCTCGGATACGGTACTACTTTTAGATTTGGGAATAAAACTTCATGCTCGCGATAATATCTTAAAATTGCAATCTTTAATACATTAACCAATTTTCGTTATCAAGGTTTAGAAACTTAATCAGATATGCATAGCATAAAAGTGGTTATATAAAAGAGAAACTACCAGAACTATTCGAAACACCTGCAGACTTTTGCTTTAAAAAAAAATCTAATAAAGTAATATGCGATATTTGCGGCAATATTGTTATAATTACTTACGCTTGGTGTAAGAAATCATTTTGTATTAAATATTTCTATCATGATCATCACATATGCGATATGTATAGTCCATGAATATTATATTAGCATTTCTCGGAATTATATTATTATATACTTTGTATTATATATATATATGTGTGTATGTATGAATATACTTTGTTAAATAATATGTATTACATATATTATAACTAATAAATCTATGTTGATGAAATTTTTCTTTATAATTGAATAATAAAATAAAAATTAAATAAAAGTCTGAAAGCGCGTAACTAGTTTTTATGTCCATCTTTGTATACATAATGTGTGAATTCAGATGACATCTTGTATTACAAAATCTTTTCACTTACATTACTTTTTATTTTTCCGTTTACAATTATTTTTCATGCGAGATTATTTTTCTCAATATTGAAAAGCTATTTACTTTAAGTCTGATATTTCTTTTTTGTACTTTGTGAAGGCAAAACTTCAACACACAGTTATTCTTAAACATTTCGATATATCCAACATTTCGAGGAAATAATAAATTTCTTAACCAAACTTTCTACGCTGATGTTCTTTAATAATTACGATTCAAGTTTACTTCACGCATCTTATTAATTTACTGTCATGCTACATCTTCGACCCAGACTAGTAGTCAGGCCACAAAGTCAGACGATAGCCACTGCAATATGTTTTTTACATTTATATTTAATAACGGAGAAGAAAATTGCAATAAATATATAAAAAATGTTAATAACAAATTAATAGCTACTAATGGAAGGTCTTCCATGGATGAAATATATCAAATCGATAAAATATCAAAATTTGCACTTGATACGATCATCACACATCATCACACTTATCAAAACATATTATGAATTAGACAAACAAGACTCCTATGATAAGTGACAGAAAATACAATAGCAATGAGAACTAGTCGCAATTACTAGTACGAATATTAAACCATGACAGAATAAAACTGTCTGACAATGTTAAAGCATGCGCCGAATATTGTAATATTAAATACGTGCTGAAAAAATATTTCGCGTGCGTCGAATTCACATATTTACACACTACAAAAACAGGCAAACTTCTCATAAATAAGATTTCAGTTTCAAAATATGTATATATATATATATATCTCTTTTCATAAAAACAAAGTGTGGGAATATATGACTATTGTCATGCATAAAATAATTAATTTTATTGTTGTTGTCATATATTGGAATGTTTATGATTATATATTCTGCATATCAGTTTTATCTTCCAGTCTCTTACTATGCGGAAGTTCGAAGACACATGTTACGTACACGTATCGCATGGAACAGGCGGCTACGTATGGCTACGTTATGGGTATGTAGACGTGTTCCCACGTAATTTTTGAAAAGTTCATATGTCGGAAAATGGCTTCATCATACATGAATTCAGAATAAAAAATCTTTTCATTTCGTAGAAACGAAATTTTTCAATTATAAAAAAATTGGTGAATGGTGGGGATATGTTTAACATTTTAGCATTTTTTAAACGGAAAATGCAATTATAAAATACTCTTCAAACAATTCAATTTTTCTTAAAAAAGTTTTTTTTATCTCTTATACTTTTGACGGTGTATGCTTCGAAAGAAAAAAACCGATTTTCTTTCCCAAAGGGGTGTTTCACCTCCTAAATATGCGATTAGGCACGTATAAAAAAAGATGTGTCCCTTATTTTAGTCTACATTACATCATATTTCAAGCTCATCTGAATCGGAGAGGGACAGTTCCATGTGTTTCCTTGCAAGTTAGAGTGAGAAAAAATATAGTCTTACTTTAACTTATTGCACCAGTTCAGCAACTAAAAAACGGACCCATGACTACATATGTATTAATTTCTTTTATTTCATTCATTTTCAATATAATATTCACTGAAAAAATTTATAATTCCATTAATTAATAAACTATATAACAATTTAATTTGCGTAAATAATTTGTATTAATATTCTTATTATGTCTTCTTAGAAATTGCGCAAGCGCAAGAAGACAGTGAGAGTGCGCGTGCACTTCCTGCTCTGTCTCGCTCCCATTATTCACAGGCGTCAGCCAAAAGATGACATGCTCCGTCTATTCATACTATGTCTATGCTTCTTTCCTTCCTTGGTCTCTTCTTCTTTATCTTTTCTCTTATTCGATGATGAGTTAACTTCTACCCGAATGACTACGATGCGACGCAGAATATGCGAAATGAGAGTTAACAAGGAGGCAAATATAACAATTGATGGACAATATGTGTGCACATGAGAGATAAGAGGATGGAGAACGTTCGCAAAGAAAAAGACACGAAAATCGGTGCGCATCGACATGCAAGAACCCTGGCTACAGCCTGTCAAATTGAAAAATCCGCTTTGAAATTAAAACGACTGAAATGTGTACAGGTCTTTAATTGAATGCTCGCTTCCGGCTTCAATTGAGAGAGAGATAGAGATAGAGAAAGTCAAACGCTAAAAATTTCCTCTCGAGAAGTCGTATTTGCATCGGATAAGTGGAATGTTGAAAATTCTTTTCATTCGACCTGACTGATGTCGTTTTATCTCCCTGCAATTTTTGCGGCGCTCTGAAGTCTTCTTCGCAATAGCCTTTCGCGTGTGCGACAGAGATTGATGGAAAGGTGCACTCGCGATTTTGCTGGTTGAGAGATTCTTTAGGCTTTTATGTTCGTGCAATTCCATCCGTCGTGTCCGTGCAGCGGCAGGAGCCCCATCGGCGCGTACATTGCAGATACACGATATGCGCGTAATTAGCGCCCGAACAGATTCAGAAAGCCAACCAATAACGAAGATCGGTCATTCCCGACAGCTCTTCGCAGCAAACGCGACTAGATCTTCTCTCCGCAATCTGCGTAATTCACATGAAGGATGCTCAAACGTGATTCATTACGAGACTGCGAGCGACCTTGCGAGAAATCAATTCAAAGTGTCGCGACTGCTGGTAAACAGCCGTCTTCACATCCACTTAAAAGTTTTATCGGCGGGAGTAAGCGGAGATAAGCAGATCGTGCGAATAAAAGAAAAAAACCCGGACGAACTTCTCGACACCTATTTCGCGTCGAGATCTTCTTCTTCTTCCTGCTTCTCCTCTTCCTCCCTGCTCCTTGTGCCCTGCCCGTTCGAGGCAGGTTTGTTGTTTCCGGGAACGGGAACTTTTGCAACAAAATTCAATAAGAAGTTTCGGACCTTAAAGTACTCTGCAATTATGTGGCTGTTAATACTCAATCCAAGTTCCTCCTCGTTAAATCCGTCCTCGTTCTAGCCCCGATATTGGAAACGTCTCTCTTCTAAATGGATGAGGTGTTGCGAGGGCAGATTGAAAGGAAGCAGAGGGGAGAATGATGATAACCGGAAATGGTGGACAGCCATCCTCTTCGTCTTCCGATATACCGCTCTTGGTGGAACATTATTATTATTCGATATCGTTGAAACGTCGACACCACCGGGTTTCCTTTCATTTCATGAAGACTTTCGCGCTCTTATAATTCGCCAAGTTTCATGATGATTCATTCTATCGAGTTTCCGCCTTCGCGCGGACACAAAGACTACGTGTCGAGCGGACATGCAGCGGCGTGGAAATTCACGTTCAAAGAAGATGACACGAGCCGCTGCATCCCTCGCACTTCCGCGGGAAATTAGCGTTTAAAGTGCGGCGAAAACAAGCCCGACATAGCCTATACTAATATACAACGAGAGAGAGAGAGAGAGAGAGAGAGAGAGAGAGAGAGAGAGAGGGGTGGGGGAAAGCAGATAGAAAGACAACCGCGTCTTTATTGCGCAATTCTGAATATCTCACTTATATAAGAGTATATAGTATATACCGAGTATATAATATATATATATATTTTGAGATATTTAAGGAGAATTTTATAACTTTTTCAATATTTAACTCACGATATCTCGCTATTTGTCAAAAGAAAAAATGGCACTAGACATTTTTGCTCTATTTAGTTTCAAGAATATATTGTTCCAACAACGCCCTGAATTTGGTTAATTTGATGATTTTGAAATTTCCAAAACTCAGCTCAACTAAAAAAATATTAGGTAAATAAAGAAATGTTTCAGACAAAAGTTGTTCAAATTAATTGTTAGAAAAAGATGTAATAAAAAATTGGGGTGCCATTTAAGATTTTTATGTTGATCGTGACTAGACTTTTCAAGGTTATCCCAAGATCAAATTCATAGCGTCAGTAAATAGATCCTTTGAAGCCCTACAACTTTTGTCTGAAATATTTTTCTCTAAAATGTCGCATTAACGAAAAAACCGGGTGACCCGAGTGGTCTGAAACACCCGGTATAATATTCAAAAATTTGTTAATCCCTTCATTTTGGTACAATTAATCGTACGTAAACTCGCAATTCGGTGTTTGTACTTCCGGCAAAGTGCCGGTGACGATCAGTCTGACACGCCGTATATCATATTTGGGGCAGAGCTTGACGCACAGGGGAAACATGTAATTAATTTCAATCATTTTCGTCGCCGTGGGGACGCGCGGTAGGGCGCTCGGGCGATAAATCCTGGCCATTTCCGACGTCTGGAATCTGCGATGCGATAATCGTTCCAAGGGCTAAATGTCGTATATCGATCGAAGCGAGCCATGGCTCCGTGTCCGCACAAACCGATTCTCTCTCTCCTTTATCCTCCCCCTTCTCTCTTTCTATATATATAGGATGTTTAAAAGAAAGGATTCAAAACTTTAAGAACAGATTATCATTATCATCATCATCATCATCATCATCAATTCTTTTTATTTTTCTAAGGAGCAAGGGCTTTCACGAAACATCTTTAAGAGTAAGAGATAGTATTTGCAAAATGGAGGAAGAAAGTACTAATAAGCATGGATCGAAAAATTAATATTGTCGGAATTATAAATAATTGTTTATAATAATTAAAGCAAGTGATTTATTCACTTCTGGTGCACGGGATAAACTCGGCTAAGATGGCCATTGTTTTTTTAAATGCAAAAAACATGTTTATTTTGGTTTTCTTTTTAATGTATACGTTACTAAAGTTTAAAATATGTAATATTATCGAAATTAAAAAAGAAATATTTAATAGAAATTTTATATTATCAAAATATTAAAACATAAGTATACCATCTTACTCGACTTTTAAGGATAAGATGGCCATAGCCACTGTGGGATAGTTGGCCATACATATTTTGCAGATGTTGCAGATGTACCTAACATTTTGTAAAATAAAAAATTATAATTTCACATATTTATTTTATTTTAGAATATTTAATATATTAATTGTAAGAAATTAAATATATATATTAATAATAAATTACATATAAATAGGATCTTTTATAAAAACAAGTTAAATGTAGTCTTTTAATCGAAGGATTGCATTTAAAATTAAATTTTTTTTAATACAAAAAGCAATTTTTAAAACATAAGTTTCACACATAAATGAATAAAATACGTAATATATAAACATAATACAGGCCAAAAGATAACATATGAATAAACAAAAATATATTAGCTTAATTTTTTGTGTAATAAATGTTTATATAATGAATATCAATAACAATATAAAAAAAGCTTCTTTAACAAAAGAAACGAGAAAACAAAGATTTCCATTATTTTTAAATGAGCAATGTTATTAAGTTCCTGTTATGATTTTACCACACGTTTTGCAAATGTCAACAAGTGATATGCACGTTTCATGAAGCTACTACTTGCATCATATACATTGAATCCAATCAACATTTTCTTTTATGAGCTTATAATTTTCTTCATATCCAATGTATATATTTGATAGCTTATTAGATTTCATTTCTTGTTTGGAACTGCTTGGAACAGCTTTGGTACAAACGAGTTTTTTCTTAGTTTCTTTCGGTGTTCGTTTAATAGTTTTTTTTTTGGGCGCATTATTTAATTTCAGTTTTTTAATATTTTGAGAAGGTGCTAACAAAACAGTTGGAACGTTTTGACGTTTTAATATAAGATCTTTTGTTATAAATGATATTGGAGAAATTTTATTTAATAATTTTATAGGAGAAATAATAGAAGAACAAGAAGTGTGATAGATAATCGTTTTCGTAGTGCAAATACTGATTACAGACGAAAAACTATTGATGGCATTATCGGTAATTATCGACAGTTATCGATGAAAACATTACAAATTATATAATTATACAAATATAATTATACAAATATCGATAATTATCGACCGTGTGGAATATTGATACTTCTCCGTCTGTAGTACATATAATAATACACATCGATTGCGTTGGCCATCTTACCTTGAAAAAAGTGGACCATCTTACCTAAACTGTGAGGGAAAGATGGCCATAGTATTTATAAAAAAATAGTAGAAACGAAAATA